CCATTTGAACTCTTTGAAGGTAATTTTTCTTGATTTTTATCGAGTGTATTCTTAGGTAATTTCAGTTATCTAAGATGTAATTAACTATAGGGGCTTGCCCTTATAGGAAGCTTTTCTCGAACCCAGCATAATATAAACCCTATTTAATTCCTTATATTAAATAGGGGAACTTGTCGGCCAATACATTGGTTTCGCAGACCAAACGGATGTCATAACTTTCTTTAGTTTATTTGATCGAGCCTCACTCTCAATTCTTGCGTTCATCCTTCGGGATAGATACATGATTTGAGATGAAGCGCTCTTTCATCTAAACTATGAAAATTATGGGGTCAGTTTGACTTCATCTTTTTCAAAACTAAATTTTTTAAAACGTCCTTCCGAAGCAGGCAACGGGATTTCAATTCCGATGACCGACAGCTTCTTACGGGCAAACCCCACACCAAAAATAGTGCCGACATGCCTCAAGTAAATGATGTCACATGGTCTAATTTACTTCTTCATTTTTGCTTCATGCAAAAAAATAGAGTTTTTTAGGACCAACTTGGAAGCAAGGAAATGAAATAGAGGTAAGAAGAATTTTTTAAAGAGTGAGCGCTCTTTTAGGAGGGAACTTGAACCATCTACGAGGAGCAACTTTAAAAGTGGTGGCAAAGAGCATAAAAATGGTGTAATGTGAAATAATATTCACGAAATCATTCACATGATCAAGTGGGTCAAAGGTACCTTTGTGTATTTCAAGTTGAGGACCATTAAACTTTCAGGGAATGCCTTACATAAGGATCTCATGTGGAAATGGGTTGCAATGAATGTAGGTGACATCTTGATGCTGGGAGAAGAATTTCACAAAAAATGGGTCCCCTTGCTCCAATGAGTGGGGCAACATGCATGAAAGATGAAAGAGACCTAAGCCTCTATAGCAAGTTGAGATATTTGGTTACAAAAGTTCTTCATTCGAGAGTTAAATTAAACTTGGGAGAGAAACACATTGCTTTTAGAAGACTTTACGAGATTTAGGCAAAAAGAGAGAGGAAATGCTATGAAACAAGTGTGTGTAGTGAGATTATTCCTACCATAACTATTTTCATTCTAATTAGTAAATAATTTTTATATGATAACACAAAAAATATAATCGATAGACTCGAGTTAGTACCAGGAGAACCAAGGGGAAGCAAGATATTCAAGGCTTCATATAAGATGAGTAGAAAAAAATATTTTGATGTAGTTACATGAGGATAAGGGAAGGAAAAGAGTGCTAGAACAAAAGAAAACTCAGAGAGAGAGAGAGAGAGAGAGAGCGAGAGAGAGTTATGGTGATTCTCCCCCACAGACCAATGTCAACTTCTAGAGCAAGCACCATCAAATGTTAGCTATCTCAATAAATATGACACCAGTGAACGGCATACAATAAACCTTCTCAAGGCATCCAAAAGATAAGAAATTAAAAGCAAGGAAAGATACCAGTAGTACAGATTACACAGACCAATGTCAACTTCTAGAGCAAGTACCATCAAATGTAAACTATATCAATAAATAAGACACAAGTGAACGACATACAATAAACCTTCTCAAGGCATCCAAAAGATAAGAAATTAAAAGCAAGAAATATACCAGTAGTAGAGATTACACAGGAGAAAGTATTTCTTTTATGCAATTTCATCAAAACGGTAAAAGAAGAGGAGAAAAAAATGGAGAACCTCACATTAAGGGTGATTAAATAATGAGAAATTATTGCAAAAAGCTAGCTTAGTATATTTAGTTATGATCTAGAGCTTTTGGTCAAGTTTCAAAGGATTTAAAGGCTGGTAAGAGAAATGGAACAAGATTAGGTGAGGATGGACCTAAGATTTGCCGAGATACTGTGAATGATCTTTAAAAATTATGTGAAGGTCAGAGCAGGCTTTGGAATGCTAGAGGAAATGCAAAAGATTAGAAAGAGATATTTTTATTCAAGAAAGTAAGCATAAGCCAAATTTTAGCTCTTGGACATTTAAGGCAACATTTTAGAAGAGCTCCATGTAGCAATAGGAGCACTGCCAGCACTTTTGGGCAAGCAAATGAAAAAAATCAACCCACGTTAAAAGACGCTTAGATGATAATAGAAATTCCTGGAGTAACTTGCTTCTACTTGGTGGATTATAACTTAAATTTTTAACACTGCAGTGTAGAGTTTTTTTAAAGATCCAATGGAGTTGATGTACTACCGGCACCATGGATAAAATCTCAAACCAAAGCACTACATCAAGACCAAGGCTCATCATCAAGCACAAAACCTCAAAAGAATGAATTATGGCCAGCCTCTCCTCACTCAAATTTAATTTTGGTGAGTTTAGTAAACCAAGAACTCCCTCCCACATCCCCATGCCGACCCCCCATAAAATGGAACGAAGATATATTAAAGATTAAAACTACTCCATCTTCCAAAATTGGTCTGGATGAATTTTTCTTGCATAAAAAAGCTATATTTTTAATCGTTTTAGTCTTTTTTTTTTTCATTATTGTTTAACTATGTCACAAACCCAAATAATTGATTGTAATTGGTTCCCGTGCTAGAAAGAAAAATATACATGATGATTTAAAATCCAAGATCCAACCATATTTTGTTCCCAATATATTAATGGGGAGAATCAAAGCAATTAAGTAATCAAAGAATGAAGTCGGAAATCCATGAATCAATAAAGTGGTCCTCCTTTACAAGGAATTTATGCATTTTTTCATCACATGAAATTGCAATGAAAATATTATAAATATGTAATGATTTTTTAGACGAAAATAAACTTTAAAAAGCATTGGTTTTATACAATGAAAATTGAAGTTTGGTGGCTTACTCGTGTGTTTCCTAGAAACAGTGCTTGCATTTCTCCTTTTAGTAATTGTTCCTTGAAATAATATTCTTATCAATTTAACTTTTGTCGTGTCGCATATCTCAAGTCATGGATAGCCCTCTATCTTAATCAACTGAGTTTGTTACTTCGTTTCAAACAATTTTTTTCCCCAAAAATTTCAAAAACATTTCAAGTCACCAAGGGGAATCTGGTTTGAGCGAATAAGAATCTAAAAATACAAAATATAAGAGATGCAGAGTAGACGAGCGTGATAAACCTAAGCTATGAGTTGCTTACATCAAAGCACACAACACAAATGTTCTGCTTCGTTTGAAATAATAACAACAAAGTGAATAAAAAGACATGATGATAAAAAATGGAGGAACTGAACTGAAATTTATTTCGCACCCCCTCTTTAGCTTATAAAAAATAAGTGAAAAAAGGTACCTTCCCCTTGTGTCAGGTTGAAGAGATATTGAATTGTTGTTCTCATATGTGAAGGGATCATACAGCCACATCAATGATGAATACTAAATTGTGATTGAAAATTTGCATTTGTTCACATATTTGCTATAACTCATTCCTATCAATAACACTGAAACCAGAAACAAAGTTATAAAATAAATTGCATTTATATTTTTCCCAATTCCTTCAAACTAAACAGAGCCAAAAGAAAAACAAGTAACATCTGAAACTTAGCCGCTAAAGATGAAACAATTGAAAATAAACTTACAATGTCAACACCAAAAGAACCTCCGCACTATAGAAATACTCATTTTCCAAAATAAGAAATACAAAAGCAACAGAGACTATTCTGGGATTACCAAGCTCTAGCTCTTGATTTGGAAGGGTTTTGGTTCATCCCGCAGAAGCATATTTGCTACGAGAGATAAAATCGCAGTGGAACTTTGCCTGGTACGGAGATTCACTGCCGCGAACAGTAAATCGCAGACCGGCGTCAATTCTGAAACTTCTGAAAGACATTAAGGCTGTAAACAGATCAAAGCGGAAGAAAAAGGGGAATAATAGAGAAGAAATTGGCGGAACGAATTACGAAAAAAATGGGACATTTACACACACACACACACATATATATATATATATATATATATAATTCTTATATATTTAGTTATTTGCATATCTAAGAACTAAAGTTTATTTTAAATTTAAACATAATAAAGTATTTTTGTAGAAATTTCACATCAATTTGGTGATCGTACGAGATAAAAATCTTGATTTTATTGAAGAATATAGCGAGTTCAAAAGAAATCAGATTGATTGTGCCTCCTATCAAGAGTTTTGCACGAATCTACAAGTTTAGTGCCCTAGCTTTGGAGACCTCTCTTGTAATAAAGAATTAGGGCTTTCATAAGGGGAGGTCAACCCAAACTCAATCAAAATAAAATAAGAGACCATAGCTACAAATCTTGATCCAATGGGAAGGACTTGCTGCTGTTTCTACATATAATGTAATAGATATTATAACCGTAAACTTTCAAGAGATGACATATCTTTTCATAGTGTTACTTAGAAGCAAGTAGTTATAATAAAAGAACATATCAAGCATCTACCACAGACCTGTAAACAACACTGAAGAAAAATTATAAATAAAACTTTGTAGCTAGCAGGGTGGCAACATAAATGAAATAACTTCCCTGTGCTGTAATTTTTTTCTTAGTTTTCATAGGAGATTTCAGTTTAAAGTTGGGAGCAGCTAGGAAGACTCGAACCAGAGATGAAGAACATAGGACGCCATTCGAGGGGAGAAAATTGAGAATAGGAAAGCTAGTGGTGTTAAAAATTAATCCGACACGCTAATATGACTAGAACTTAACTCGAAAAAATTTAGATTCGGGTTAACCCGAATATTTTCCTGGTCAAGTTCAGGTATATTTATAAATGCTATTATATTTTGAATTCCATGCAATTTACAAATTTTTGAGGTAAAAATTATAGCAATGGAGAGAACAGTAAAAAATAATTTTACGGCTAGAAATTAGATATATTTTGAAACAATCAATAATGACTAATATCATTATTTTGTCTTTTGAGTTAGGTAATCATATGATAAAGGCCATGAAATTTTCTACCAATATTTTATTTCTAATAGATGATGGTTATAATAAATCTGTAGATTTCTGGTTGTCATATTTTGCTTATTGACATGTTGGACATGTAATGATGAACTGAATTTTGTCTTGTTTCATCATTGGCCAAAATATTGGGCCATTACTCTAGCTTTTGTACATCTTATGCCTCCATGTCCTGCCACTCTTGATGAGTATAATTATAGTAATATGTTTGATTTCAGTTGAACAGTATTGGCCAATATGATTCCATGTTTGAAATAAATTAGCCCATTTTTTGGTATGCAATGATGAAAATTTACATGTGTTGATATCATGTCTGTACATAACTTTTGCATTTCTGGTAAGTCTATTGTTTCCTTTCTTTTTTGATCAAGTCAAGTTCTAGCTTGGGTTTGAGTCAAATCTTGGAACTCAGTTGTTTTTATTGGCTAAGGCCTCGTTTGGGGCTGCGTTCGGGCCACGGTTTGAGGTTGATTGGGGCTACTTTAGTACTGTGTCATGGTGTGTTTTAAGGAAAATGCGGACCGCAAATTAGACCCGCGTTCCACGTTGCTTACTGATTTTATTACCCCTTCATCACTCCATCTCTACCAATTCGTGTTCATCGTTTTAGTTTCTCATTTTTGTTGGATATTGATGTCTTTGTTGGTTTTTTATGGTGACGATGTTGGCAGCAGCGTTGAGGCATTTTTTTGTTGTGAATTTGAGAAAAATATACTTTTTTTATTTATTTTATATAAAACAACAGCAAAACCTTAATCCCACTTCGTGGGGTCGGCTACATGAATCTTTTTTCTCTATTGCGTCCTATTTAGTGTCATATTTTCATCTAGTTCTAATAAATTAAGATTATATTTTATACAATAAGCCTAAATCTTCCTAGTTCTACCTCTGTCTTTCTCAACATAAGTCGAATTTAAAACATCTATTCTCCTAATCGGATCCTCAGATGGTCAATGTTTAATGTGACCAAACCATCTAAGACGACTCTCTCTAATTTTGTCCGTCATTGGAGCTACACCAACCCTATTACAGATATATTCATTTCCTATTTTGTCTCTAAGTGTAAAGCCACTCATCCACCTAATCATTCTCATCTCGGAAACACTTAACTTGGTATTATGCTTTTCTTTTAAAGGCCAACATTCAACGAAAATAGAGCATTGTAGGTCTCACCACCCTCTTATAAATTTAACTAAATAATTACCATCGTGAGTTGAATCATCAACAGAGGATCAATTAGATTTGATAATTTAAAATTTATTTCTGATAAATTGAAATCTATTTACACGATAGTAAACAGTTGAATGATTTAAATTTTTTAAGAACTTATTATAATAGCACATCATATGAATCTACAAAATTATTGATAATGAAAATAAAAAAAAAATTATATGATGAATTTATTAACAAGGTTTTACATGTTGTGTTGGTGGCTACTGAGTATTTTTTTTTTCTGATGGATAGTTCATATGTCTATAAAGCTAACCATTAAAATCAAATTCAAACCTCAAAAAGACATTAATTGATGAACATTTTAACAAGGTCTCAAGTCCGGATTTTAAATATTGAGATTTTTTAAGAAAAATTATTTGTAAGCACGGACATACATGCGTGTACATAGACGTATGTATATATATGGCTCGCCATATAAGCTCATTGGCTTCGTATTGGTTATAAAATGATGAAAATTTAAAATTCTTATCTTTAAATCGAGTTTGCACCCTTAAAACTAAACAATCTCTTCGAGTTTGTTCCAACAACAATTTTATTGCTATCACTAAATATGATAAAACTATTCAATATCTTCTAACAAGACCGGGAGTTATGTGCTCTTTTCCATGGGTGATGATACTATTTGTTCTCCCCAAAGCAAATTACTTTCCATTTCTATGAAGCCTTCATATGTGTGGAAATTTCTTCATATACCTTCTTCCTCTACTTCTTCTTGTGTTGCTTAGTATTCTAAGGCTTTGCCTTACTATATCAAGCTCCCTCTCTTTTCGTTCCCCTTCTCTCTCCATGGTTACAAGCTTTGTTCTAAGAACTTGCAATGCCTCCTCCTTCGCTTTTAGCTCAACCTTTAGAGTTTCTATCATAGCTCCTTGTTCAAATCCCCAACAGAATTGACCCCCTATAAAAAAAAACAAAGAAAAAATGTTATTTTTTATTTAAAAGAAATTATAAGAAGAAAATAATTAAGAAAATGTAAATTCATTTTTTATGCTTTTTATTGAGATAAATTTGAAGAGGGGCTCTGAAATTTTAGGATAAAATTAGGGGTCATTTTGGATCAATTTTGATTTTTATTTTGTTTTGCTTATGTTTTTACTTAAAAATATATATATTTGGTATGTTATAACATATTTAGTTGTAGATGTTTTTAATTTTTTTTAAAAATATGTTAGTTTGCTTTAAAAAAAAATAAACAAAAATCATATAAACATAGCTTTAAAATAAAAGTAAAAAAAAAAAATAATAAAAGTGTTCCCTAACAAGCACTTATCCTCTCACAAATGCAAAATGCCAAATAAAAACTAGGCTTTTCCTTATAAGTACCTTAGGGACCATTTAGGATCACTTTTTAATTTCTATTTCTTATTTTATTTTGTTTATATTTTGATTTAAAATAAAATATATTTGACTATTTAGTTAATGCAAGGTTTTAGTTAAAAATACTCTAAACAAAAAAAAAATTATTTTGAATATTTTCAAAATTTTTAATTTTTCTTAGAAAAAAATAAAATATGTACAAGAACAAAATAAGAAAACATATTTTTAAAAACAAATGAGAAAAATAAAAAAAATTAAAAAAAAAAACTAAACTGATTCTAAATAAGCCCTAAATAAATGAAAAATCTATTTTACTCAACATATAAATTATAAAAAAAGGGTAATACCTCTTTAAATAAAGTAGCAAAAATAGAAAAAAATTTAGCTTCTACTATATAGCTACTATTGACTCAATTCAATGACATGACAATCACAGCTCATAAAAATATTTATCTTTATTTTTCAAAATATTTCTAAATCAAATACATGTGATAGATTTTTTTTTTTTTCATTTTTATTTATTTATATTTTTTTATATCTTTTATTTTATTTTATTTTTTCATATTTTTATTAAAACCTAGCATAGCTTTAGTCACACTCACTACAAGGTGAAGGATTTATTTGTGTGATGGTGGTCCTCATGGTGAGTAAATGGATGCATAAATTACTAAGGAGGTTGAAGAAAAGGACAATGCCACTAAATGTTTGATAGGTCATTTCATGTGATGCTCAGAGGAAAATTGGATGGTTAAAAAGAGCTTTTATAGTTATAACTTGTTCTAAATTATTAGGTTTGATGTCTTCTAATGTTAGTTTTAGTTGGAGCCATCTGTAATATATTCAGTACATCAATTTTTGCATAAAGGAATATCAAATTACATTTTAAGTCCATTTGAGGTTGTTAATAAGGGAAAATATTTACGTACATAAGATTCCTATCAAAATACCCCCCTGTAACTTCCGTGTAACTTATTTGTTCCTATAAAACTATAGAAGCGCGAAAATCATTTATAGGTTACATGGAGGTTACAGGGAGGTTACAGAAGGGTATAACCTCGATATAACCCCCCTATACCCCCTGAATAACCCCTGGACGTACGCAGCGCTGCGTACGTCTTATGCACGCAAATATTTTCCGTTAGTTAGGGGATCTTACTGTTTCCATATTAATGTCCTAAGGTTTAGTAGGGAAATTTAATTTTTTACTTGGATTTGAATGTAATTATTTTATAATACAGAGTTCAGATTTACATTTTTTTTTTCTATAAGTTAAGAAAAGGGGCAATTGCATCCATACCACACAATTCATATGTATTTACATATCTAACACCTAAAACAATGATATTTACATGAGTAACAATCAAATATTTGACATCACATAAAAAATATCCCCAATACCATCTTCTTAAAAGTGAAATATACATTTTGCATGCATAGGCTTATAGTGTTATAAATGTAAATATATTAAATTTTGGTGTTTGATATGTAAATATATAACAATTGTATGGTATGCATGTGAATTTGCCCCGAATATTTTACCTTGCAAACTAGAGAGAATTACAAGTTTCTTCCAACTTTATCACGTCAATATTCCGAAATAATTCTTTGAAAAAGATAAAAAGGCTCAAAGTATTTTGATTATATATATATTAATCAAAATAAATCTCAACATTCTTGAATTTATTTTAAACTGATTGTAACATAAAATTTTAATTTCTCATATCTTAAACTATGAATAAAATTTTGAGATCTATCACGACTAGAGGGGTAAACGAACCGAACACGAACGAACAGAGCTTGTGTTCATGTTCGATTCGTTTGAAATTTAATTTGTTTGAAATAAGCTCGTGTTCGAAATTGTTCATGAAGTCATTGTTCGTGTTCGTTTCTTAACGAACGAGCCGAACATGAGCTGTTCATAAACGGCGAGCCAGTTTGACATCTCTAATATTAATATATATAAATAATATATTATATTAATTATACTATTACTAATATAGTATATTAATATATTATTATTATTAATTTATTATATATTATAATTTTATTTTAATTTATTTTATATTTCGAACAATAACAATTCAAACACGAACAAACGATCATTGTTCGCGTTTGGTTCGTTTAACTGACCGAATGAAAAAAATTTGTTCACGTTCGTCTCGTTTGATTATCGAACGAATCAAATACGAACTCATTGACGAACCAAACACGAGTTGTTCGCGAACAAGAAGCTTTTTTGACAGCCCTAATCATGACCAAATTTTTTTCAATTTACATACGCACCGCACAATTCCTATGTATTTACATATCTAACACCTGAACTTCAGTTTTTACCCATATATACAATACGATCCATGTATGAAAAGGCCTATCACTTTTAAAAGGTTAAAATAGTGATATTTTTTATGTGATAGAAGATACTTGGGTGGCAATAAATGTTATTTAAAAAAATCAGTCATTAGATATGTAAATATGTAGAATTGAGTGGTTTGTATGTAAATGTCCTTCGAATTGTCTTATCCTCAACCTGTGTTCAGTACATTATTTTACCATAATTTAACCCAAGAATTATTTAAGCTGTGAAATTATTTTCTTAGTAAATAATAATAATAATAAATAATAAATAATGAAGTGATAGGATAAGATTATTTTTTTCTCTAAAATATAGACCCTCCATTGGCATCCAAAGCTACCATTCTTCACTAAAAACAACCCTATGAGCATGCCTAAAAATAATATTTTTATTCACCCAATGTTTTGACAGTGAGATTGAGCATCTTATAAATTTATTATGTCCTAAATAATAATAATAAAATTAATCATGTAAAATCAGCCAATAATCCTTAAAACAATATTTTACGGATTTAGTTGATAAAAAAGTTCTAATTTTATATATAAGAAAATATAATAATTTTGTTTCATTAAATGTCTGTTTGAAGCAGCATCCAGTTTATTCAGATGAGTTGTTTATCCTGATAAGCTGTCGATAAACAGTTGATCCAAATAAACGGTCTGACTGTTTGATTTGTGCGTTTGGAAAATAGTTGATTCTGAATAAATGAACTTCTATCCATATTTTAGATAAGCTGTTTAGTTTTTAACAATCATAAGATTATAAAGACTAATAAAATTAGCAGGCTTTTATCAATCATAAAGATCAGATTGAAAAAAGAAAATTTTTTTTTTGGGGGGAAAATACCTTCCTTCGTCCTCAGGATGAGTTCATCAAGCTCAGTCTTGATAGCCAAATAGAGCTGTTTCCACTTCTCCATGGCCGCCTCCTTCCTCGCTTGCTCCTCTCTCATGCGTTCAAACATGTAATCTCTCTCTACTTGTGGCGGCGCCGGAACCAGTGGTGGAGCAGCCCCGCCGCAGCCGCCTCCAATCTTCTGACTGTATCTTCTTCCTCCTCCACCTTCCTCCTCAACATCGCCACCTCCTTCCTGTGTCTTTTTCTCTGCAAAGAGAATAATTGCTGGTTCTGCTCCTTCTCCATTGTTATCTCCCTTAACCTCCCTTCTAAAATACTGATTTTGGCTCTCAGCTCTCTTGGCTCAACAATGTGTTTGGTGTAGCATTTGCTGACTGCGAGTCCCATCTTCTTCCTCCTCCTTACTTCTTAGAGCACTGAGGGGCTGCGGTTTAAAATGGTGGGTGGGGTGGGTTAATGCGATCGTGTGGTGGAGAACAAAAGGAAATTAGTTAACGGTTTTAGCATTAATTATATATTGTTAAAATTTAAGATATATAGTTAATAATTAAGCTGAGGGGCATTTACTCACATGGTACCCAATTCCTGTACATTTACAATAAACTGCTAAACTTTATATTTTGTTCTTAGCACCACATTTTAAAAATATATAAAAAATAAAATATAGGTATTAATTATGTGACTCCTAAAGCTAATTGTTAGGAATATTCCAACGGTTAAGATGAGATTGGATTTTGTTAGATTGGGTTGAGGAATAATTAAGAGCGCTATGATGGTGATTAGTGTTATGGGAGTGGGAATCAGTTTAGTTGAGTGTGGCCTCAACTTTTCTAAAAAAAGATTATATGCATAAAATCATTATGGGAAATGCTTTGAATTGAGAAAGTGTATTTGGAGGGATTTGTTTGGTTGGAAGAAATAGGAGGATATTGTAAATTTTTTTTTTGCAGGAATTTTAGGAAATAAAATGTTTGTTATAAGAAATTATAAATACAATAAAAATATGAATGAATTTGAAATTTACATATTTAATTCATTTTGGTTGACCTTAGAATTCAACTAATTTGATGAAGTCAACACTGTGTTGTGTTGAACATTATTTACTTTTATTATAATTATGGGGTTTTTTGTCTTTTAATTTTATTTACTTGTATGATCTAGTTCTCCTCTATAAAAGAGACTTGGGTTTCATGATGGGTGTATGGTGAGAAATCTTAAGTTGTAATCTCAAGCTATTTTTTTCTTTCTCCTCATTCGGTGCTAGTGGAATCTCCCTCCCCGTGGACGTAGACGAATATATTTAATACCGAACCACATAAATATTTTGTGTTTGATTGTTGTTGTGTGAATTTCTACACTTCTTCATTATTTTAAATATAACACTTCTTCATTGTTTTCAACATAAACCTCTAGAACTTCAAGGTTGTTCTTCTAGCATTCGGTATGACGTAATTCTCCTATCTTTTAGGCTTTGGCATGATTGTGTGTCGTGTGATATAAGTCCTAACTCATTTTAGGATCTCGAGATTGTTCGTTCGGTACGACGTAAATCCTCCTATCTTCTTAAATTATCTACATTAATCGTATGCCACGCAACGTGAGTGTTATATTTAAAATAAATGTAAGAGTAAACATCAAATAACGTCATTTCCAAAGTGTAAAACAAAGTAGTAGGATATTTTGAGAAGTTATCGAGGTTCTCCTCAAAATCTTTGACATCCCCTACCTTTTACTTCCTTAAATTCTAAAAATAATTGTTCCACATTTTGCCCATTCCACTTGATTTTCCAATGAACAATCATGTAAACTAAACTTTGAGTCCTTGAAAACCAAACCCCCAATCTTAATCAAGAGTTGTCTTATGTGATTTCAGTTGCTAAAGATATAACTAACTATAGGGGCTCACACCTATAGAAAAATTAGTAATTCAAATAATCTAAATTTCATCTAATCTTCATATTAGGTAGAGGAATGATATGTTAGAAATTTTGCAAACCAAATAATTATTATAAATTTCTTGGTTTGAATAATTGAGATCATTATCGAGTGATATTCTCAGCTTTCAAGATGAAATACTACTTGTAATATCGTGGTCAGTTTTTCAAACAATAAAATCTATGAGATTTGTTTGGTCTTACTTTTTCAAAATTAAAATTATTTTCATTTATAAAAAAAAAAAACCAACATGTGTTTGCAAAGAATGAATGATCTCATGAAGCTGATGTGCAGTATATAGCAAGATTAAAGGCAAAAGGCTCTGTGTGATCAGAAGGAATTGATTATGTTGAGTTGTTCTCCCCGGTGGTCAAACATCCCTCAATATGTGTTCTCTTAGTACTTGTAGTAATGTACGGTCTGATCGTGGAATAGCTTGATGTGAAGATCGCATTCCAACACGGAGAATTACAGAAGGAGATTTATATGTGGAGCCGCCTGTATATGGAGCACCAAAAGATTTGGTTTACAAACCAGACAAGCCTTTCTATGGGTTAAAGAAGTCACCACGTCAGTGGTATAAAAATTTGATTAGCTCATGAGACGATAAGAGTACACGAGGAGCTAATATGATCATTGTGCATATTTTAAAAAGTTGGCGAATGGCGAGTTTCCTTACTTGCTTCTATATTTTGATGATATGTTAATTTCATTTGCTAGTCAGATTGAGATGATAAGATAAGATTCAACTATCCAAACATTTCGAAATGAATAAGTTGGGTGATGCTCGCAAAATTCTTGAAATGAATATTCTTAGGGACAATTAAACTGGAAAGGTTTGGCTCTCCCAAGGAGCTTACGCTCGAAATGTAAAATTGAAGTTGAAGACTCAAGCAAGGTGGTGAGTATACCCATTGCATCAAACTTTCAATTGAGTTCATATCAGTGTTATAAAAATGACAATGAGAGGAAAGATATGCACTGCATCATGGTTTGTATTAGACTAGACATTGCACAAGCAGTTGGTGTTGTGAGCAGGTTTAAACATGAACAAGGAAGGAGTCATTGACAGGATGTAAAGGGTACATTTGGTGTTGGCTTGGTGTTTGAGAGGCAGTTATCTAATGCAATTTCGTGTATAGGTTATATTGATTCAGATTATGCAAGTGATATGGATACTTGAAAGTCTATGACTGGCTATTTATTCACATTGACAAGAGATCCGGTTAGTTGGAGATCAGTTTTTTTAGACTACTGTCTTTATGTACTACAGAGTCTGAGTACATGACAACCACACAGGCGATGAAGGAGCAATATGGAGGCCTCTGGTTGACTTGGGAGTTGGTCAGGAGTCTCTGACGGTGTTCTGTGATAGTCAGAGTGTAATATTCCTAGCCACAAATCCAGTTCATCATGCTCATACCATATACATCGACGTGAAGTAACGCTTTATTCAGGACTTAATTGAAGAAGACAATGTTATGTTGAAGAAGATAGATATGAAGAAGAATCCAACGGACATGCTCACAAAGGTTCTACCAGTTTAGAAGTTTATCTACTTTTGAAGTTTGGTAAACATCCGAGCTCGCTATTGACCACCTAGTCCAACATTTTGAAGAGCTACTCGACACTTGATCCTTTCAGGAGGGGGGTACGTTGGCAACCAACTTAGTGCAACCAAATTGGAGTTTGGAGCTCATTTGGTCATCTCTTACTTATATTGAAGTAAGAGATGAGGTGGAGATTATTGTATTTATGATATTACTTTTATTATAATTTGAAGTATTTTTGTCTTTTGCCTTTTTTTACTTGTATGCTCTAGTCCTCCTCTATAAAAGAAACTTAGGGTTCATGATGGGTGTATACTGAGAAGTGTTGAGTTGTAACCCCAAGTCGTGTTTTCTTTCTCCATTTAGTGCCAGTGAAATCTCCCTTATCATGGATGTAGAAAAATCGATTTAACGTCGAACCACGACAATCTTGTGTGTTTAATTGTTGTGTGAATTTCTACGCTTTCCCATTTTTTTACATAACATGCCGTTCATCAATGTAAAATGTTATCGGTCGCCCTTCCCGCCATCATTGTAGGCCACCGCAGCTTGTCTCTGTTACCGACGGTCATGCCTCCGCAATCGCACTCTGTTTACGTTGGTCGCCGCAGCCACCCGCCTACGCAGGTCACAACTAATCAACACCGCCCCAATTGTCGATCATTGTCAATCACTAAAGTCAATCGTCGATTACAGTCATCGGACGTCAACCGTCAATAATCTTTCTTATATTTTGAAATATATTATTTTCAATTTATTTCAAACCATATATATATATTAACAAAATATATTATTTTAGTCTTACATCATTATTTTATATTATTATTTTTTCAGCAAACCAAACAACTAGATATCGTATGTTATCAATCTTAGAGCATATTTGATAGAAATTTATTGTATTTTTTTGAGTATTTTTCTTAAAATGTGGGAGTGGCTATGACACCATAGGACAAAGTGATATTTGAAGAGGGGTAAATTAATAATAATTACCATAACTTCATAATTGTATTGTTTTGGGACCTAGGTTGGAAATAATAATAATAATAATAATAGTAATATAGTAATTAACAGGACAAGGACAAGGGGAAAATGACAGAAACGTAAAAAAAGACATCATCTTTTCCATTGACTGCAATATTCCATCGACAAGTTCATACAGGCTAACTGTAACCATGCTGCAGCCAATATGACAATGAATTTAATGGGCACTGTTAATTGTTGACTTTGGCAGAGTGCATCGTACACTCGTATTATTGAGATAATGGCATTTGTAGAATGAAACTGCTACAGAATTTAAGAATTTATGATAGGCGTTGGCTTTAAAATTGATTGGGTTGGTAGAACAGTAGAACAGTAAAACAATAATGCTAGTAGAATAATTGAGATATTAAGGACAAGAATTCATCGAGGATGAGTAGTTAGGAAAATCAAGACAAAAAAAAAGAAGAGACAAAGATGCAACAACATCACACCTCCATCACCTTCATTTAATTTTTGCCTTGAAGCTAACATCAAGTAATTTATTTAATCTTACAATCAATATACTATCAGTTGATTTTTTTTTTAACTATCAAATCAATGTATTTACGCTTGTCACGATCAAACAATTTAGAATTTGATAAACATGAAGAACATGAGTTTGGGTTTTACCATGAATTTCAATATTTGAGTGAGAGTTTCAAAAATGTATGAAAGTGGTAAATGGAAGAAAGAGGGGGGTTGATTTATAAATAGCTCATATTTGTTGTTCGTTGAATCAACATCAGCAATAAGAGTATGAATCTGTGAGCAGCATAACTCTCCAACATTAGTAGCAACCTGCAAGTGAAAACATTCAAATTAGAAAAATAGCCCTTTTTTATTTTATTTTCAATTATATCATTTTTCACAAGATTATTTTTATATGTGACACGCCTTTTCTTAAATTTTTTTATTGAGTTTATAACCTATTTTATTAAACATTTTACATTTT